CCCCCCCCCCCCCCCCCCCCCCCACCCCCCCCACTTCGATCCTACTTCTCATCATGCAACGCCTTACACCTTGCCCGTGGCCCCTGGTTTCTGCTTCGTTGGCCTACCCCCGTCCCTCTGTGCTGTGACTTGAGCGCAGACCTTGCACGAGTACTCGTCACGGAAGGCGACGCGGAGCTAGAGCTGCGCAATAACAAGGGGGACACGGCGCTGAGCCTGGCTTGCTTCTGGGGAAACGAGGATGCGGTCGAGTGAGTGAAACTTGGGCTGAATCTTCATGTTCAATTCCACCAAACGGTAGTCAATTCAAACCGGGATCCCGGCCACTGCCCTGCAGAAGTATTCCACGCTACGAGGGTCCCCCAAGGTGTACCTTGGGATGCAAAGAAGACATGGGGTCGTTTCTGTTCACTCTTCTCTCTCACCTCCCTCCGCTGTGCATACTACATCAAGGGTTATTTCATGCCTCTTTTTCTTCTTATGTTGGAAAGGTATCTTCTCAACGCCGGGGCGGATCCGAACAGCCGTAACGACGCGGGTGAGCGGCCCGGAGACAGCTTCGACTCTGTTTTCGTGCCCCAAGTTGTCGAGAACTTCTTCACCGCGGACGAAGACAACGAACGCGCAAGTGCCGCCGGCCAGGAAGACATCATGTTCGACGACGATGACGAAGAGGACATCATGTTCGAGGAATTGGATGAAAAGGACGCCAATCTCCAAGAGGGAGATGATAAAGACGTGAGGGTTGACGGTGGAGAGGAGAAGGAGCCCGCTGAGAAGGAGGACGCATCGTTGGCAGGGGAGAAGGGTGGAGATGGCGAGCCAGAGGAAGAGGTTCTAGGCCCAAGGGAAAACATCCTCAAGATGCTGGAAGAAGCGCGGGCAGAAGCGGCCCTCGAGGCCAACTAACGGTAGCGCCACCAGCTATGGACATGCGCTTCTTCTCTCAGCAGATGTTTCTCGTTGAGATTCCGGCGGTTGACACCCACCTGTGACCGCGATGGTACGGTGTGGGCTTGCGGACCGTTCACAAGAGGAAGCACCGTGACAGCCGTTTATTGTCAAGTACGGGGGGGTCAGGTAGGAGGCCGGTAGCAGGACGGTCCAGAGGTTTGGACGGCTGTTGTCTGCTCTTTCTCTTGGTACACCCGGGAAGGTTGGGGTTCACGGAGTCTTTCTGTATTGCCTCGGCTCCACAAGCCATGCCAAAGAATGTGCTCGGGATGAGGCACAAGGGATAGTGGAGAAGGAAGCTGCACGACCACCAAAGCACAAGATTGCAGCTTTCTAGCCGCGAACCTAGATTCGGTTGAATGACTACGCGAAGAAGATTACGGCCGTTGCTAGCAAGGAGACGACACGACGAGCTACCTACATGCAGATCTCGTTTGAGTGGACTTGTGAATACCGCAGTGCGAGTCATCGCACACACCTAGACCGACTTTCATCGCTCGATTGCTCGCTCATGCGATCGAGGGCTCGCTAACGAGACAGGGTGAGGCGCTCATCAAAAGAGAACCATGAGTCCAAGTCAAAAACATCATCGGCATGGACACCCCTGCGACGTATCGCAGTGCAACGATTTTGTTCCCTGCAGAGGTGTCACTTTCCATAAGGGCGGTGGTTTGCTCGCGGCGAAACACTAGCCGCCCACCCCCGACAAGAACCACTCTGAACAGCAGTGTTGCATATTTTCAGAGAGGAAATCAGAAACGAGCCTTGGGGGGCGGGGGAGAGGCGGTCAGTTCTACGCTGGGTATATCAGCAATACTGAGAACAGCTGCACTTGAGCAACCTCCCGTGATGGCCACCAACAATCACAAGCAATATCAAGGATAGCCGCCGAGAAAGCATAGGAACGCGTTTAGTCATATGCAGGAGGGAAGAACTGCCAAAGAAATATTGCTACAATCGGAGCACGTTGCTCCTCAACGAATCATCCAAATCGTTAAAACACTTGTGTAGAAAACAAAATAAGCTGGTACCGTAGGCTGCACGGCAAAAACGATATAAAGAACTATGTACGATTCATCACGACAAAGGAAAACCCGCAATTCTCTAGTCGGCATCTCTGGTAAGCCCGGGAAGGTCCCCCGTCGGCTCTGTTTTTATCCTGATTATTCCCCATACAACTCAACATGCGTGCCTCAAGACGCGCATACCACAGGTTTCACCCATCACGCCAAACCCCACCTGTCAACAAATCTTCAGTTCCTGCCCGAAACCAGTACGGAGGGATTGGTGTGACACAACAGCAAAAAACATCCCTGCCCTGCCATTACATGTCAAGAATACAGAAGGTTTGACGGGCTAAAACCTTGGGCTCAAATCTCTCGCCCCGCCGGTAGTGCACTCCGCTTGCATTCTCACATACAGAAGAACGCCTCAGTGCGTAGTCATCCAGAGTGGATGGCCTGTGCCATTCAACCACTCCCGTGCTCATCGGCGCCCTGTAACCAGTTCCGTCAAGCCAGACGACACAAAAGGGCAGCGTCGCGAAGACAATTGCGCCGTTTGTTCGATTTAGTTGCTGAGATGAAAACGGTCTCAGCGAAAGTCAACAAGGATGGTCCGCAAGAGGGTATTTCCCCAGAAGTAAAGCGGTAGCTCTAGGAGCACAAGCGAGCGCGTCTTGGCTAATCACAGCGCCTGTCTACCAATCAGTCAACAAACGTCCATTCAATGTGACATGCGGTTGTTTCGAATGCATGCTAATCCTAGCAATGGGCGAGAGGGCCTGTGCACCGGAAAACCCGTTGGCCTAGCGGTTCCTCACATTTTCGGTTCGTCTTCTTCTTGAGTGCGCCAAGCGCTCCCTGAACCCAGCTGAGATTGGCGTCATGCTCGCGATGACGTTCGTCCTGGACCTCCGCGAACCTTCTCAGCTGCTCTTGGGTTACCGGACGTTGGTCCGCCGCCGCCGCTGGTGCATACAAACCAGCAAGAGTAAATGTCACAGCAACAGCATGGAAGGGGGATTGATCAATGTTTTTGATGTACGAATTTCATGAAACTGCCCGTTTTTCTACTGTGTCTTTCAAATCAAAGACCGTTCCGATGGTGGCTCATAGTGCCTCCGGAGATCCGTGTCCACTTACGGCAAGGATGCTTTCGTTTTGATGGTTCTTAGACACGGGTATTACGAGCTTCAGGTGGCCACGATCTGTGCGTTGAAGGCATCCGTGGAGAAGCGGCTTGGATGTGACAACCGCTGGCTCTCACGGTGGAGGAAGTTCTTCAAAGAATTGCAGGGCCGTTTGTGTCTGCCGCGTTTGACGCTGACTCATTGCACTTTCTATCCCGAGGCTTCTCCGCTCACTCGCGGTCTGCCTCCTCAACGGCGGCACTGCGAACCCACGCAGGCACACACAACACACCCTGTCGCCCTTGGCAGAGTTAATCAGGCGCGTGGCTGCCACAGTCCTTCGTACTCGACAACAACGAACCGTTTTCGAGCAAGGAATGCTTCACCGGTCGTGCCCGTTTCTTCCATTCCGATACCAATAACCCCTCTTGCATGTAGGTTGTGTTTGAGCTAGAAGCTCCAATTTAGGGTCAGAGTTCAAAGCTCGTCTTTGTTTTTTTGTTCTACTGCATTTGACGCGAGAAGGATTCAACAGCTCTTTCCCAAAATAGTGTATTGATATACAAGCACTTTCCACAATATCCCACAAGAAAGCGAAATAAGATGAATATTGCCGGAGATTCCAACAGTGTGCACGAAATCATGTAGATCCCATCATGCTGCCGAGATCAGTTTTTTCTGAGTTGGAACCTCAATGGAGTTAAGAGGTCCACGCACCCACAGCTTACGTCTGGAGATGCGGGTTGAGCCGTGGGCATCACTACCATTAGCTTTCCGAGGTGACGGGGGGCCATTTACATGCCGCCACGGCCGTAACATCAACAGAGTTTGTAGATCATAGGCGATATTGTAGATTTCTTGGCGACGCGCTATCCAAACCTGAACAGAGGGTTCAGCAACCAAGAAACGGTTTCGAATTCGCTTCGGATTGATATTTGGCATTAGCGACGAAACCGCAGATTACGTTAGCACGGGACTTGTTGGACAAAGACGAAGGTCTGTAACTTGGCATTGTTAGCGTGGGGCACGATGCGCTTGTATTTGATCTGCGTGGTCAACATTCAAAGCCTTATCGTCGCCTCGGTACAGCGTATCGTCTTGAGGCAAGTGAGTGAGCCAAAATTCTGCAGGAAAGGTTGTACCTGATTCCGCCATCTCCTGCCAGACCTCCTCCTGGGTCTTCTTCACCTTGCGCTTCAAAGCAAGAGCTTGCCCTCCTCCTACAGAAGATGGATTGGAATGCGCAATAGTGACGGTGCATCGTTCGTAAGACGACTATTACCATCGGTTTCACGTGGAGAATATAAAACGCGTCTTTCTTGTGACAGGCACGAAACAGGAGGGCATGTCAGAGCAAAGACGAGGGCACAATAGATTGCGCGACAAACCACGATAATAGAGTAGGATAAAGGGGAGAAGCAAATGGGGGACTGCCAGGACCCATTTTTCTGCTCCGGGCGCGCCGATCATATACTATAAAAGGTGAGCATATGCACTCACCCACATCCACCTCGTCGCTCGGTTCTCCCTGAGGCTTTGGGATGTTCTTCTCCATGGTCGAAACCTGAACATGTGGATGACAGGATTGCTAAACCTCGATTTGAGTTTGCTGCACGGATCTTTCGGGCCACAGATTTTCGCAACTCACAGGTCAACACTGCTTAGGACACGCCACATCACAAGTGCAAGTGCTTGTGCTTTGAGGCTGTGTGGAGAAAACTGACTCCGCTCACCTTCCTCGTGAGCTTCCCATTCTCGATCTCCAATGCTTCCAATTTTGCTTGCATGGCGGCAAACTCTGCATGCAGATCCAAGCCTCCGTCATGGGATGGCGCCGGCGCAGCAGGACGCTGCTCGAACGATCTCTCTTGCGCATTTGAGTTTGAAACAGGCTTCACGCCGGCCTCGGGAACAACCACCCTCCGCAGCCGTTCAACCTAAATCGCAGTGTAAACATATAATGTGTTGTAGGCCGAAACGTGTATGAGGCCCTTCGTGTCGGTTGATCGTTGGAAAATAACCCATCTGCACTTATGTATAGCCACAGCGCGAAGCTTGTGAGGACGCCGCCTGCCGTGACAGTCCCCGGAGCCTTCGAAAAATGAAGTAGCTCAGGCAATGTTTTACCGAAATGCAAGCCGAACTAGCTCTCTAAATAAACACAACGGCATCACACCTTTTCTTCGATGGCGTGTGTCTCTTGGAGACAACCCCGCTCCACCGCCGCCAGTATCATGCGGATGTGTCGCTTTGCCAGCCGCCGCCCAGCCTGCCGAGAACGAGGGGGCGTACTCTTATGTATTGTATGCCTCAGCGGTTAGCCCATTGACCATGCGTCCTCGACAGGACGGAGCACTGTTCATACAGGACCAATCACCGATGGCCAATCGTTCCTTTAGGTGGCTCAAAAATGTCTTCCCTAGTCTGTATCCCAACGATATCCCTTCCCGCCTTTTCAACCCACCTCCTATGCCCCAGTACAGCTACCGTCCGTTCCTCTCTATTCCATGCCTCAAACATCTCCCTGTACGTCCCATCTATTTTTCCCAGCTCAGTCACGTACACTTCCCTCTCCTTCCTGTACAACGGACATTCCGCGACTACATGAACACGGTCTTCGCATTCGAAGCCGCAATCACATTTGAACTCGTCGTCTTCCTCGTCTACCGTCCTATGTCTTCGTCGACGTTCTCGAAGGCCTATGTCCCCCGGTCCTGAATTTGACCTTGAGCTTTGTCCCTGCATCCACTGGTCCATGTAGGTAATCCTTGGACCCTATTCCATTCTTCAATATTCCGTACACTTCTAGACCCTCCTTATCCTTGGATTCTTTCCTTAGATTCTGTTTTCTTTCTCGGCACAAGCAACAGATATCTTCTACTTGAACCCCTGTAGACCCTCCGTTTCCAGCGTTTCATCTTTTTCGATGTCGAGCCCCTTCCATACGTCCTCTACAACCTTGACCCATTCCGTGGGTTGTCTACCCCTCTTTTTGTTTGCCCACTTCGTCTCCCATACAGTTCTCGGCATCCTCTTCTCTCCCATCTCACACATGCGACACTGCCATGTCAGCTTCCGCGCGTCTCTTCCCGACCGAAGGGATTGGATCGCCAATTCTGCCCTCACGGCTGCATTACTTGTGCGCTTGGAGCATCCTAGGATGACTTTCGCTGCTTTCATCTGGGCCGCCTCGAGTTCTTTCACTACCTTCTTATTTCCTTCCCATACTTCTCCGGCGTACTCTAGCGGCGGTACGATTACGCT